GAACCAGTTCGCTACCGGTTCACCTGAACCAGTACAAACTTGTAGAATCCCACCCTTGATGCCATGTATGGCACAGACAAGGAGAAAAAGAGTTGTGCTTAGAGCAGGAAGTGGCTATCACTAAAGTAAAAGGCATATTTTTCTAATCCCGCCAGCTTTTTCCCCCCTTAAAGTGATTTTCTTCCATTGTCATCTTATTGTTGATACCTGGGGTGGGAAAGACAGAGAGTTGAGGCACACACAAGGAGGCCTTCAGATTCACAACCACAATTTCCCTTCCTCCCTTTCTGATAGACATATATGGCTTCTATACAGTGGTGAAATTCAATTTTTTTTTTACTACCGGTTCTTGGTGGGTGTGGTGTGGCTTAGTGGGCATGGCAAGGGAAGGATAGTGCAAAATCTCCATACCCACCCCACTCTGGGGCCAGCATATGCCGGTTCTTGGAACTACTTAAAATTTCTGCTACTGGTTCTCCAAACTATTCAAAATTTCCAATATCGGTTCTCCAGAACCTGTCAGAACTTTCTGGATTTAAACCCCTGCTTCTGTGGTAAAACACGCAATACTTCAATGCTCCCCTCCACAGCTGCAATTTTATGCTTTATGCTGCTTATAATTACCAATAACAAAAATAGCTTATTCATGCTCATTCTAAAAAGATAATTACAGCTTCTCTTGAAATCATAACCCATAAAACATTAGCTACAAGAATAACATGGCTTCTACTGTCTCAGGAATATTTTGTCATAGGGATAATATTTTTTTAAAAAAATCACAATATTAAGAATACAAATAATTCAGCACAGCATTATACCTCAGGGAAGGTAGCTCAGCTGTAGAAAATGAGGGATATGACTTTGAGGTAAATAGGCAAGAACCATTGTAGACTCAGGCAGACTCCTCATTCATTCAGACAACTGGGTTTTACTGAAAGAGCCAGTTTAATCTCAGGTGGATGATGTTATAAAAGCCAGCAATTGAAGGAGGACAGGTTTACGAATACAGGCATCCCAAAAAGTGTTTCTTTGAGTCTCTTCAGTATCAGATATATGATGGCTGATAGAAAGTTATGTTGAGGTAATGATGATTTAATAGCTGACCAGCTGCTGTAAGGCTGTAAACCTTTTTCCAGTCCAACTTGCAGAATTATCTTATGAGGAAGAAATGACTAATGAGGAGTTGGAAGTTGAATGTTTTCTGATACATTAGAACTGAATCTTTCTCTCTGACCGGCTAACCTTTTGTGTAGAAGGAATCTTCTCTTTAAAAGAAGAATTAGTTTCCCTTATTCTTTAACACTGTTTGATTTCCAGAAATAGAAAAATAAGCTCAGACTGCCCTTGATTCTAATTGCAGCTGAAAACTTTCATATAGTTTTGATAAGATTTTGGAATATCATCCTCTCCTTCCTATCACAACAAGTAAGTATGACAGGGAGAATTAATAGACATTCAGTAGATCATTTCGTATTACTCTTAACATAGTCATTGCTAATAAAGGAATTATAGCTAGTAATGTACATTGGCAGCCAATTTCCTCAGCAGCTCTGAGTATGTGTGGCTCCTGGATATTTAAGGTGTAGCATTAGAGAGAGGGAGAAAATCCCACATTCATTTCCCATTAAGCAGCTCAAAAATAATTTAGTAGTTTTTCCACCCATTTCTCCAACTTCTTTTTTTTTTTTCAAAAGCAAGGTTTTCTTGCAGCTTTTAAGTTTGTATGATTTTTTTCCACAAAAGAAATATGCAATGACCTTTTTTGTATGTTTTTATGCCAGGAACAACACTTTTCCAATTAATAAGCCAAGCCTAAATGTGGCTATTTACTGGCTTTCATATTGGCCAAATATTTTCATTATGTTTAATATTATCTGCATATCTGTCTAACTATCCATCTATTATAAATGAGCAGCCTCTATCTGTCTGTCTGACTGTCTCTACCTTCCTTCCTTCCTTCCTTCCTTCCTTCCTTCCTTCCTTCCTTCCTTCCTT